TAGAGCCCTAAATAGCAGAGTTTTTAAACTCGCAAAAGTCAAGCAGCAGTGTAGCTTTAGGAATACAAATTGTTTGACCCTTTTATCCCATTTAGTTGCAAACAGCACTTGACTTCTTCTAACCCTCTTGCAACAAGCAGACCACACAATGATCTGCTTGTTTGAATAAGTTTGAAATGCTTTACTTACAGCTGTTGAGATTTCATATGGGATGCCTGCCCCCCCAAAAATATTCAAAACAAAACAACAGAAGCCAATAAGCATTCAAATTTTGGGGTGCCCAGAGTTAAAATCTGAATTCTAAATTCCTCTCAAAATTTGAATGCCAAAATTGGAAGCACATAATGTTTCTGAATATTCTTTTCGGTGCCGCTTTGAAGACTTTGACCTGTTTGCCTAACTGTGCTGAGAATTTTTTCCCTTACAATCAAGCAGTATTTAAATTTTATGAAATAAAATAAATAAATCTGCAGAATATTAGTGAATTTGTTGATAGGATGCGATTGGCCCACTTTAGTTCTCATTGTTTATATTTATTTTATATTCTGATCTTCTTCCAATGTGTTTTTATGCAACATGTATGCAACCCCCCCCCCTTGCCCTGGGATTCATTGTGACGAAGGGGATGCTATAAATATGCTGAATAACTAAAACAAGGAAACATACGAAATGGCCCTATCTTTTCTTTTTTCTTTTTTTTAACTTTTCATCCTTTGTTATTTTATTCACATAATATACATTCTTTACAACAAACAGCTCCAAAATAGACAACTCCAAAATAAAATCATATGTAACAAAACCATAAGTCTCATGTTTTCATTTACACTGATCTCCTCTCCAATACTTTTACTTGATATTTCTTGCTGCTTTCTGCTTTCCTTATAGAATCTTTATGAAAATCCTATACCAATCTTTAACAGTTTCAGTTAATCCCTTCACCTCCCTCCCCCACAGCCCAGAACTTCCCTCCACCCGGGTGCGATCTTCTTTACCTACTATTATTTTTGTTATTGTTGTGTGTGATAGGAATTTTGAGGTCTTAGATATATGGTAATGTTCATAAGCATACCAACCAAGCACGTACATACATAGATCAGCACAGGAAGACCAACCTGGAACCATTTTGATTCCTAAACTGAGCAAATGTTTTCTCTGCAAGGTCAAAGTGGGAAACCTCCCCATTGTCTCTTTCCTCACAATTCCTGTCTTAAGGGCACATTTAAGATATGAATAGTGTGTGAGCCTGTGACATGGCTCAGGAACTAAGTATTTATCATTACAAAATACTGGCCAGGCTACCCAGGCAATCCAATCAAGTAACCTGCCAGACAGGAGAAAAACAACATTCAAAATTCTGTTTTAAGACTGCCTTTTTTGTGATGTAGGTATGATGTATCTGAGGGTGGTCTTAGGTTACACCCCTTCTGTGATGTATGTATGATGTTTCTAGGGGTGGTCTTGATCTACAGGGTGGCAATTTCAAAAGTCTTTATAAGGCCTTGCGCGACATTGTTCTGGGTTCCTCCTCTCTCCTGCGGGTGAGGAGAGCACCCTGTTGCAACAGATCAATAAAGATCAGGCTTACCAGCTGCTTTGCTTCTCAATATTCTCTGGCTGGCCTCTGTTATCTTCTCCTACCAATAGGGAACCTATGTAAGGACTCTATATGGGCTCTTGGATACCCCATAAGGGAAAAGGGCAATTTTTTGTTTAAAACAAGCATTATTCACTTTATTTGTTATTCCATCCTTAATATATTATGATCCTATTTCCTTGCGCCTTTTAAACTTTTGCATATTAATTTTTAATTTTTTTAAAGCGACATGGCCCTTTCTTTAGGAACATGAATGAGGGGAACGACAGAAGACTCACAAATGCTTACTGACTTTCTTCAGCGTGAGGGTCAAGGCAACAGAATAAAAGGGATGAAGGCCACGCCCAGCTCTGCTGAGAAGCCAGGCTTCTCCTGCCTTGAACTGCCGCCTGAGGAGGGGTTGAGAAGGAAAGCAATACCCCTCCATCAGTACAGTTGAGAAATGGGCAACTTTCGACATCTCCTCTCTTTGAATTGTTCCACCCGTTGCTCATTAGAAGAGCCTGTAAATCAAATAAACAAGGAATATTCGGTGTTGTGCTGGAGGGGATGCCAGGAAACCGGGACTTATGTTCACATGTGGTGGGGGTGTAAATATGTATTCCTTTTTTTTTTTTTTGGCAAAGGGTATTTAAGGAGATATCAGAAATCACTGGGTTAAAGCTGACCGAAAGTCCAGAGGCAGCATTATTATCAATTTACGACGGGGCGGAAGTTTCGCAGGCTATGAAGGACTCGCTCACAAATTTATTGACAGCTGCATGCATTGTTATAGCCAGGAAGTGGAAGGGGCAAGCAGAATATAAAATGGAAGAATGGTATAAAGAGGTGTGGGATATACAGTAGCTATTAACATGTGCCATTATGGTAAGACAGGGAATATACAAGAGAAATTGTTTTGAGGAAATATGGAAGGTGTTTTTAGAATTTGTACTGTTAAAATGGAATTGCAAGAGGTGTTGAAATTTTGGGATGTTGGATAGTTACAATGGAATGGTCCCGGTGGTGGGTGCACATGTTTATTCTTATTTATTTATGATTATAAATAAAAAAGGGGGAAAGAACCTGTAACTGGACATTTGCATATCTCCTCCTCCCTCCCCATCCATTTTCCTTTTGTGTCATGCCTTCTGAGATTGTAAATAAATAATAATGTAAAAAAAAAACCCCAAACCCTTTCTTTCTGCCTTTTCACAGGAAGAACACAACAGCAAATTTAATGGAAAGGAAATCAAGATAAGGCATTCCACAGCCCCAGCCTATCCTATCTAGACCTGCTTTCAACCACCAGGACTCTTGGAGACTCCATGTTCCATGGTGATTTAGGAAAGTGCATTGCCTCAGCCATGTTTGGGCCGGAGAAAAGCTGGGGGATAGCGGCCGCGGTCCTCCAGGAAGTCCAAGTGGTCTTGGCTTATTTCTTGATTGTGTACACCCTCCTTTTAGGAGGCTTCATTTGTGCTGGACTGATACTGCAGTTCCTCACGTTAGAGTAGGGAAGGTGGAGGATTTCGTATGAGCCACGTTGGAATGGGGACCAAGCCAATTTTGCAGATCACAGCTATTGGCCAGTTATTGCATCTCTCCAAATTTTGCTGCGACTCAAACATGTACAAATATCCAGGGTGCTCGAGATATACATGCAAAATATGCTGCCCACCCTATGTAAAATTTGCATTTTAAAATATACTTTAATGAAAAAACACCTGTGCTTTTCTTTTATTTTAAAAAGCCATTTGATACAGAAATAGGGTGGAACAGATCAAAGAACAGAAAATGTGCACAATGAATTGGTAATAGTTCTACTGTGCATACGAATGAATGCTCACACTGTTGTCTTTTAAGAAGAAATCATGGTTTGCGTTCAGTTAAACGATACTTAATGGGCTGGTTATGGGAGAAGCAACTAACCTTCCTTGACCTGAGAGCCACATGCAGTCTTGGCCAACCGCCCCGGGGGCTGCATGCCAGTGGTGGGTGTGGCCCAAAGTGGGTGTGGCTATATCTTCCCCCTTCCTAAATTGTCTCCGCCTACGCCAGTACTGAGTCCACTTTTTCTCCTTTTTGCTGCTGCCAAATTGGGGAATCGGGAAAAAAATTAAATGTTTTGGGTTGGGTCAGGAAATTAGGCTCCGCAGTTGGGGATTTGCCACCCATTAGGTTGAAATACACACACACACACACACACACACAAACACCGGTTGCCTTTCTGCTTCCGTACATAGGATGATCTTAGCATGTTCTGCAAAAAACGACAACACAATGATTGTAGAGGCGGAGGGAGAATTATAAGTGTGACGCCAAAGAAAGACCCCTCTCTTTCGGATTCATCTGCTTGGCCCAAGCGGTAGAGGAATCGTCAAAAGGATGAGTTGATTATTTTGACTCTTGGGCTTGTTTGATTGTGGGAAGGTGGCCATTTGATGGTGTGGTGTTTTCCAAGTGTAGGATTATAATGTGTCGTCCAGGAGCGCCTAATCTGTAGTCCTTCAGATGCTCTTGGACTCTGTGAAGGCCTGGGTAGCTCAGATGGTAAGAGCGTGGTGCTGATAACGCCAAGGTTTCAGGTTCAATCCCCGTACGGGACAGCTGCATATTCCTGCATTGCAGGGGGTTGGACTAAATGATCTGCAGGGTCCCTTCCAATTCTAAGGACAATGAGGGCCCTCATTCTCACTGCACCTTCCTGTTTTGCCTCAGGCGGTGAGACGGGCCAGGCCGCCCCTGGATGGAAGTTGTAGTCCAACCATACCTGGAAGTGCACACCCTTGGTTGCGTTGATTTCTCCATTCCACAGCTTTGAATGGTGCCTGCCCCCGATTAACTAGGCAACAGCAGGTTAAAACGATATAAAAGGTAAAGGTAAAGGTACCCCTGCCCGTTCGGGCCAGTCTTGCCAGACTCTAGGGTTGTGCGCTCATCTCACTCTATAGGCCGGGAGCCAGCGCTGTCCGCAGACACTTCCGGGTCACATGGCCAGCGTGACAAGCTGCATCTGGCGAGTCAGCGCAGCACACGGAACGCCGTTTACCTTCCCGCTGGTAAGCGGTCCCTATTTATCTACTTGCACCCGGAGGTGCTTTCGAACTGCTAGGTTGGCAGGCGCTGGGACCGAACGACGGGAGCGCACCCTGCCGCGGGGATTCGAACCGCCGACCATGCGATCGGCAAGTCCTAGGTGCTGAGGTTTTACCCACAGCGCCACCCGCATCCCTTAAAATGATATAGATTATATTTTAATAACAGTACCGCCAGACTTCCCAGCCAACAGGCACCATCTTCTAAGAGGCACTCAAAAGCCTCTTTTAAGAAGATGCCTGTTGCTCCCACAGATGCCTGAAAACAAGGTGTGCATCCTTTTTCTCCTGTGAGATATTCCTTTCAGGTTCAAACAAACCCCATCCCATTCATCAAACAAAGACGTCTTTAATTGAGGGGCACCCTGGCCCTGAAGCTTCTCTCCTGTATCTTTGGTGAATTACTCTGCCCGCAACCACATCTATGATGCTTAATTGGAAAAACAGCAACCCCAAAAGCTCTGTCCCTGCCCCCGCCCCCCCATCTTTTAAAATGAGGCTGCCCCCAGATGGTGGAAACTTATTCGTTCATTGGGAACAGTGTAAATCTGCTGCTGTTTACATATGGAATTATTTCAATGTGTTAAGACAAAACCACTGTAGCACCAGTTTCTCCTTTGAGCAGAAGGTGCCGCCAAAATCCATCTTCAGGGAAGAAAACATCCCAAAGTGTGTAATTCACAGATGATCGCTCAGATTTTCCTCTTCCCTCCACTCCGCCAACTCCTCTGAGCTCCTCCAAGAGGGACTCAGGAATGGGATGTACGTCCAGAGGCCAAATGTCTCAGCGGAGCTCCTTGAGAGAGTCTAAGGGATTGAGGCAGCCACATCGGGAGGGGAAAGGGAAGATGGATACCGTCGACAGATCGTCCCGAAACAGAGGGCCTCACAAGTTTCGGCCCGGCTGGTCATATATATGGTGGGTGGTGTAGCGGGTGATTGTTGCTGTATCCCTCACGGTGACAATCTCGGCGCTGCCGCAGACGTCCGAACTGTGGGAAAGGAATGGCAGAAGGAAGAATGAGGTCAATATGGGCCGTGAGGTTGCGTAAGGTCAGCTCGGGCCTCAACCTCACTGATGTGGGAGAAGCAGTGGTGGTTGTAGTGGTTAGAAGGCTGGAGGAGGACCTGAGAGAGACCAGGGTTCAAATTCTCCCACCTGGCCATGAAGCTTTAACTGGGGGATCTTGGGGACCAGTCTCTCAGCCTAACCTGCCTCAGAGGGTCGTTGCGGGGATTAAATGAGGATAACAGTATACACCACCTTGAGCTCTTTGGAGGAAAAGGTTGGGTGTAGACTCAGTTAAATGAAAAAGAAACACTTCACAATTAAACTGGGGAGAATCCTGTATTACTTAAAGGCAGGGTCCGGCCTGCCCATGAGGTGAGGCGGTCACCTCAGATGGCAAATCCAGCCTCCTCTGCTCATTGCTACCCACCCTTGTGGATGTCTCCCCACCACATTGCCTCCTCCTCCTCCTCTGCTAGACAAAAATGCATCAAATATAGGATTAAACATTTGCCCAGACTTTCAGCTAAGTCCTACTCAGCGGCAACCCATTGAAATGAATGTGCTAGCCATCTCCATTCATTTCTGTTTTGGGCATGACTAATGTCGGAGCCAACACCTATGCTCCAGAAGGCTCAAGTAAGCAAGCCAAGCTGCAGAAGGCAAGCAAAGGCCCTTAACTCCAGGGTGACACGGCCGTCGGGTTTTCAGGCAAGGCCATAGTCAATTCCCTCCGCAATTCTAAATAGAAACGTACTATTTATAGACCAAGGCAGCAATGAGGGCAGCCAGCAGGATGGCAGACAGGATGGAGAGGATAGTGGCGATGGCAATCATTCCTGCGCTCCGCCGCTCAGGGGATGTGTCGATCGTCTCGGGATCCTTCCCTGATAAGGACAAGAGAATACATTTAAAGCTGTAATTGTCAGACGGGCCGTTCTACTGAAAAGTGACTAGAAGGAATGGCATACACAGTGTCATATACGTATATGCACCAGAGGTCTAGAAAGGTTGGTGAGCCCGATTCCTGAGCATCGCAACTGGGGGTGGGGGAATAGTTATTTATAATAATAAAAAATGTTTGCCACTATATCACAAAAGTAGAACAAAGTGGTTTACAGCAATAATGCCATACAGTGGTACCTCGGGCTAAGTACTTAATTCATTCCGGAGGTCCGTTCTTAACCTGAAACTGTTCTTAACCTGAAGCACCACTTTAGCTAATGGGGCCTCCTGCTGCTGCCGCGCCGCCAGAGCACGATTTCTGTTCTCATCCTGAAGCAAGGTTCTTAACCTGAAGCATTATTTCTGGGTTAGCAGAGTTTGTAACCTGAAGTGTCTGTAACCTGAAGCGTCTGTAACCTGAAGCGTCTGTAACCTGAAGCGTATGTAACCCGAGGTACCACTGTATAACCATACATCAAAAGCATAAAAAGGTTAAACACAAGTTAAAAACAAAAAAGTTAAAAATAGACACCAGTACATGGTAATTGCGTGCCTAGGCCTGGCAGAATAGAAAAGTTTTCAGCAGGCGTTTAGAAGTTGCCACTGAAGGTGTCTGCTGAATCTCCAGTGGCGGAGAGTTCCACAGGACTGAGGCCACGGCACTAAAGGCTCAGTTTCTCATCGTCAAATGAGCCTCACCAACTTCAGGTGTGACTAGCAATGCTCCTGCAGATTATCTCTGTGATTGAGCCTGAGGTACCTTCAGGTACCCTGGACCTAACTTGTTCAGGCCGTTGTAAATTGAGACAAGGACCTTGAACTTGGCTCAGTAACAGATGGGCAACCAGTGCAGCTGTTTTAACAAAGGTGTTGCATGCTCCTGGCCAGCCACCTCCATCAGCAACCTGGCCGCCACATTCTGCACCAGCTAGAGCGTTTGAACCAGTCCCAAGGGCAGCCCCACACAGAGTGCATTGCAGTAGTCCAGCCTTGAGGTTACCAAAGCATGGACTGCAGTGGCCAGGCTATCCCTGCCCAGAGTTGGCAAACCAGGTACTCCTACTCCTTCGGCCCTCTAGTGATAAACATGCATCCGCACACAGTGATAGGGAGGCATTTGAAGGCATCTGCAGTGGTCCTCTTGAAACTGAGGGGTCTCCAACATGCTTGGCAGGGTATGGATTGCACCCAGCAGGTCCTGTTCAGTTACCTTGGATCAGCGTGATGGGATCCGACCATCTCGACTCTGCTATGGGGCCTCCGGAATTAAAGGCCAGAAACTTCACTCTGAGAAGAGAAAGGTAAGAACGTGATGGAGTCGGAATACCCTCTTCCAAGTCACATGAATAAAGGAAAGAAGGAAACTGCCTGGGACTGAAAAAGACCATTGGTCCTTTCTGAGTCAGGATTGTTGACACTGGCTGGCAGCATCTCCCTTCAGGGTTTGAGATAAGGGGCACCTGAAAATGATTTACAGATGGTATTTAACTCTGAGTAGACTTGCTAAAATGTGTAAGTCTGAATCAGGTAAGTGTTGGAGATGTAAAGAGGTTGGGGGTACGTTTTATCTTATGTGGTGGACTTGTAAAAGGGTAAAGGAGTATTGGGATATGGTATACAGTGAATTGGGGGGGGGGGAGTTTAAAAGTACATTTCCAAAAAAAAACCCCAGAGTCCTTTTTGTTGGGGATAATTCAGAGGGAAATTCCCAGGTGTCCAAAAAAAAAAAAAAAAGGCTATTTATGTATGCTACTACCACAGCCTGTGTTTCGTTAGCCCCAAAATGGAAGACAAGCGAGGTCCCAACCAAAGAAGAATGGCAACTTAAACTGATGGAATACACAGAACTTGAAGACTTAACTTCTAGAATAAAATGAACGTTTAAAGAAGACTGGAAAATGTTTACTGAACATATAGTGAAAATTGTGTTCATTTAAAAACACTGGTGGCATTAAGATAAATTCAACAGAGTAAATAAGTTCTGATGGATGTAACAATGGATTACTGAATGGTTTAGTTCATGTAAAATATGCAGGGACGCGGGTGGCGCCGTGGGTTAAACCACAGAGCCTAGGACTTGCCGATCAGAAGGTCAGCGGTTCGAATCCCCGGAATAGGGTGAGCTCCCACTGCTCGGTCCCTGCTCCTGCCAACCTAGCAGCACGTCAAAGTGTAAGGAGAAGATAAATGGCGTTTCCGTGCGCTGCTCTGGTTTGCCAGAAGCGGCTCAGTCATGCTGGCCACATGACCTGGAAACTGTACGCCGGCTCCCTCGCCCAGTAAAGCGAGATGAGCGCCACAACCCCAGACTTGGTCACGATTGGACCTAATGGTCAGGGGTCCCTTTACCTTTATGGTATGCAAAATGAACCACATAAGAAGAAGGGAAGTAATTGATTTAAGGTTGTTTAAATGAATATTATGAAATGTAATTCAGAAAATTTAATATTTTTTTTAAAAAATTGAGAGTTAAGGGGACCTTGAGTCCTCCCTGGAGATTGTAAGGAGCTAGGGCCAGGGGTAGGTCAGCAATAAAACACCCAGTGTCAGTGAGATGAGCTTTTTATTCAAGAAACAAAAACAGTGCAGGCCTAGTGATCACAGCAATTCTACCCAGTAGGTTTTGCCCCAATGAGGCAGCTATAAGGACTGAATGTCCCTTACTTCCCACAGCTCTCTAAGACTCCTCTCCTCCCCCAAGCAATCTGAGACTTCCTTGCTGTGCCTGCCTTTGCTCCGCCCTCTTCATACCTCTTCTGGTTCTGGGAGACCAGGGGGGGAAGTGAGTTGGTCGCAGTAGAAGGGGGAGACCCCCTGGCTTCTTCAGCAGCTCTGCCTCTTTGCCCTCCTCCTCTCCAGCCTCCTCTTCTGCCTGTCAACCTAGACTGCTCTCTGCCACAGCCTCTTCCTGCTCACTAAACTCTGTTGCCTCTTCAGTTTCTGACACCTCCTCCTCCTCCCAGTCCTCAAGACTCTCCCTAGGTAACCCCCCACTCCCACAGGCTGGAACGCCTCATGTGTTTTTTCCAGAAAGCACAAATATGATAGATTTGGCTCTAATTTCATTTTTTTTTTGTTTGTTTCACATAATTTATACACCGCTGGATTGCAGAAAACAAACAACCCTCAAGGCAGTTTACACAAAAAAATATAAAGCAATCAAAATTATCAATAAGGAAAATGAAAAGCGATAACGTAGGACTTCTGAAAAGCTGAAATAGCAACAGGCCAAAATAGATTCAAAGTGGCACCAACTTTCTAACAGCGTACTGAATCGAATTTCCTCCCCTTCCACCCGTCCCATTACATGTCAGCCATCAAATGCCATTGCATGTCAACAATGATTTACTGGGAGAAAAATAGGACCATTAAGTTGTCTTCCAAGACCCTCGGCCATTTTCAAGAGGCCCGGTGTGGTAGTGTTGTTGGTGGGGAGTTTGGCAGCCACTGCTCTAGATGTCGTTGGACTCCAACTCCCATCATCCCCAGCCAGTGTAGCAAATGATCAGGGATGATGGGAGTTGGAGTCCAACCACACCTGGCAAGGCTTCCTGTTGAGGACAGCTGCACCAAATGGAAAACAAACAAGCAAACCCAGATATAGACAGTACTTTAATGCAGTACTGGTTTAATTCAGAAAACAGAGACACTATCAGAACTTTGAGTGGCGGGTGGGGGAATCACCTGACACAGGTAACTCACCTGTAGGGTCCTGGCTCAGGCAGGGGGCCGTTGCAATCTGGCCTGGCGGGATCCGTCTTGCAGTCGACTTCGTTCCCCACTCGCAAGACAGTGAGCTTGCTGCTTTCTTCCGCTGGGCAGGGGTAGTTTGCTGGGGCAGTGCCCAGGGTCATGTAACAGGAATTGTTCTCGAACGACTGATAGGGCAGCTCCTCAGGGGATCTGAGGATGGCGCAGTTTTCTGCCGCTGTAAAGGGCAATAAAGAAAAAAGGGATTATTTGCCAGGCCTTGCTGGGCGACCCTAACAAGAACAATGTGGGGAAAACAGTGCAAGCGCACGAAGGCATGAACTCCTTTATACGGCAGAAAGAGACGATAGAGGATGATCTGGCAATGTTTGAGATGCAACAAAAAGAAAACCTCTTACGATTCCGTGGGGTTCCTGAACAGGAGAGGGAGGACGTAAGAGAAAAAATTGTAAAGGAACTGGTGGAATTTCTGGAAGGAAAGCCAGGAAAGCCAGAAGTAACCATGGATGGCATGGGTGGCAGGCAAGAAATGTTTGGGAATGCCTTGGTGGCTGAAGTGAAGCAGAAATTACAGCCCCTGAGACTAAGAGGAGATTGTGAGGTAGGTGAGCTGGATTTTAAATCTGATTTAACTGATAGCTGCCTTCCAGTGAAATTTCAATATGCCAAAGTTAGGAAAAATAATGTGAAATAATTATTGTATATGTGTAACTGCACATTTGCAATCAGCAAAATTTGGATAGTAGTAGTAGTAGAAAAAGAAGAAGAAGAAGAAGAAGAAGAAGAAGAAGAAGAAGAAGAAGAAGAAGAGGAGGAGAAATATGTGTATAGAAATGCAGAAGAATTTTGTGAATATAAGGAACCAGAAGAGGGAATGGAGGGAAGTCATGAGGTTTAAAGAACATAAAAGATGAGGTTTTGAAAGGTGTTTGTGAATGGGGATTGGGGGCAGGGATTTGTCTTTTGTAGTTAACTGTGAAAAAACCAATAAAAATTGATTTACAAAAAAAAAAAAAGAGCTCCATGGAGAAAAAGGCGGGATATAATTGCAACCAATTACACACAACGTACCGCTGCTGCGGGCGACCAGCAGCCATATCTCATCCGTGGCAGTGACAAACTTGTTGAAGACGCAACGGGGTTGTTCCAAAGTGAAGGTGGAGGAAGTGATTTTCCCGGCCAGGTCCTTGGAAGTGAGGCGAGGCGTATATCCTACCGACACTAGAGAAAGGCAACGAGAAAAGGAAGCGAGTTGTTCATTTTGCTTATTAAAGGTTTTTTCCCCGGGGGGGGGGGGTTAATCCCACTCTTCAGCAGAAAGTTTCCCAGAGCGGCTTGCAGCAGTCGATAATAAGGTGCTTGTTCTCAGCCTTACAATCTGAAGGGTGTGGCACAAAAGGAAAAACGGATTGGGAGGGAAGAGGAAAAGAATGCAACTTTGAGCACTGCTTCTGAGGTTCTGATGTCCTTGCAAGTGTTCTTCCCCTTGTCGTTACGTTCTTCCCGGGAGGCATATTCCCAGATGTCTTTATTTTTCTGGCTGATGGCAGAGACCCTGTACTCCATCTCTGCAGCCCCAGGACAGCTATGCAGGAAAAGTTCGTGCAGATGATGATCCGTTTGGTGGAAGAGGGAGCAGGCTTGTTTTCCTGCTGCTCCAGAGGGCAGGACCAGAACAAATGGATTCGAGTTACAAGGAAGGAGATTCCGACTAAACATGAGGAAGAACTTTCTGGCGGCAAGAGCTGTTCGAAGATGGAATGAGCTCCCTTGGAAGGAGATGGACTCTCCATCCTGGGAGATTTTGAACAGAGGTTGGGTGTCCATCTGTCTTTAGCTGTGACGCCTGCATTTTGCAAGGGGTTGGACTAGAAGACCTTTGGAGATCCCTTCTAACTCTACACTTCTATGAATCTGCAATACTGTTATCTATGGAAAGCATGTTTATTCCACTCCTCAATTCTCACCATATTTTCTGATGGGACTTGTATACCGTTTACCCTCCCTGCAAATTCCCTTTCCCTAATGGAGGATAGAATATTTAGCACACCTCACCCAGGACTGTAAAAATGTGTGTGGCTTGTTTAAGGACTTGTTCCACTAAAACCGGGTTGAGGGGATAGAGGTGCCTGGTCTACTGGCCTCATTAACCGCCCCCGCCTTCCTTGCCTTCCTACCCTTTAAGTTACTAAAACAATGTATTGCATTTTGTGGGAGGCATAAATTAGAGAAACCCAGCGTCTACCTTTCCAAGGCTTATTCTCTAATTGAAAAAGTTAATCCTCCTCTGGAATCTTAGACACCCCCTCCCCAAAGTTTTCACCCCCCACATCTACAGACACACTACCCTGTCGCTTCTATTTTAATCTTTTCTCAAGAGGTCAAAATTCTTTGCCACCCTTTCCAAACCGATGGCATGTCCCTGGGGTGTGCCAATTGGGTAAGGGGAAATCTGGGGAGGTTGTAGCTGTCATTCTATTATTTGTTTCATTTATCAATTGCTTCCTGCAAAACATCGCAAAGAGATTAAACATTAAACCATCATAAAAGGCATCAATATAAACACTGCCAACCAAAGCATGTACTGTATATAAACTAGTCCAAATTTTGCTGCGTTTTTCTTAACTTCAGCTGGGCTACAAAGTCTTTGTTAACTGCTCAGTTTTATCTATTATGTAGCTTTAAACTGTTTTATTTAGTTTTTCAAAAGTATTGTCTGAACACTGCTGTTGTATTCTTTTCTTAATTTATATTGACTCCCCGCTCCATTATATTTTATGTAAACTGCTTAGGGATTTAAAATAAACATAAAAATTGGGTGGGGGCATTTCTAACATTAGTCCTACACAAGAGCACACCCACTGAAATTAATAAACCATGGCCCGTTAATTTCAAAAAGCCTACTTTGTCTAGAACTTTTATTTATTTGTTTGTTTATAATAGAAAAATGTCGTTTATAAAAAAAGAGTGATGAAGGAAGAAAAATGTGAATGAGAATAAAAATAAAATAAAAATACTCAATTACATTTCCATACATTGGAATACAGATGTGTTTGGTCTTATTATGCTATTACAAATATCTTTATCAACAACCCAATATATTCTGCATAATTTATATTCTGCAGAACTTAAGGGACAGTCACATTAGTGGCACAGACTTGTTGGATGCAACCTTTTAACATTAAGAGGTGTCTGCAATTTTACAAATAAAACCAACAAATAAATGTCTTTGTAAATTCAGGAGCGTGGGTGGGAGAAGGCATTCTCTGTAGCAATCCCTAAACTGAGAAACTCCCTTCCCACAGAAGTGTGTTGAACACCTGCATTATGTACCTTCTATTGTATCTTAAAAACGCACCTTCAGACCACAGCCTTTGACGCCACAGATATACATATATCAGGACTCAAGCTATTCTCTTGACAGCCATTTGTTAAAACTGGTTTTCCTATTGCATTCTTAAATCGTTGTCGCTCGCCCTGAAGCGAATCAAAGAATCAATGAATTATAGAGTTGGAAGGGGCTCTGGGGGCCACCCAGTCCAGCCCGCTGCAATGCAGGAATCTCAGCTAAAGCTTCCATGATAGATGGCCACCCAACCTCTGCTTAAAAATCTCCAAGGAAGGAGAGCCCAGTATTCTCTGTTCCAATATTGAACAGCTCTTATGGTCAGAAAGTTCTTCCTGATGTTGAATTATTAGTGATCTCTCTCTCTCTCTCTCTCTCTCTCTCTCTCTCTCTCTCTCTCTCTCTGGCAAAAATGCATTTTACAAATAAATCAATGTCCCCATAAATTGAATAAGGCAAGGAACATCCCTACCTTTTTCAGCTGTGATGCCGATTCCCATCACCAAGAGTATCCCAGAGAAAAGCATGCTTCCCACGGGTTGTCCTTCCTCCTTCTGGGTCTCGCACACCAAAACGCCACCAGGAGACTTGATCAGAAAGATGCCTCCTGTCCCTATTTGTGGCCCTGCCCCACTGGGCCTCGCCCACATTTGTCATTCAGTTTTTAGACAGCTGTACTTTAAAAAAACACAACCCCTCCATACACACGGGCGAGGGCTGGCAGCAAACAAGTCCGGCTTGTTTTGGAGAGCGAGGGATAGATGGAGCGTGAGCGATCCAACCGACCGTGCCAAAGAGGGGTGTGCCCAGGGGCTGGTGGGAGCGAGAGAAGGTCCCTCACGTGGATTGGCATTCTCTGGGCGTCACGTAGAGACACTTGGTTTCTAAAGGCAAGAGGAAGCGACACCTGCCTCAGAGGGATGTCACGTTCTGGCCTGGCATCCTTGCGCCTGAATGTTGGTAGATTCGGGGGCAAAAGGAAGAGAAAGAGGATAGAGAAAAGGTTTGGTTTCTCTCCTGCCCCTCCTCATAACACTAGAACTTGTGGACATCCTATAAAGCTGCATGTTGGAAGATTCAGGACAGATTAATAATAATAATAATAATTTTAATTTATACCCTGCCCTCCCCAGCCAAGGCTGGGCTCAAGGCGGCTAACAAGCTATAATAAAAACAAGTTGAATGAAAACAGCTTAAAAACAAGATTAAAATACAACATTAAAATATTGAAACATTAAAATATTAAAATGCAGCCTCATCACAGGAGGAGAAAGGAAAAAGAAAAAAGAAAGAGAGGGAGGGAATCAAACTGGCTCCAAACCAAAGGCCAGGTGGAACAACTCTTGTCTTACAGGCCCTGCGGAAAGAAATCAGATGCTGCAGGGCCCTGGTCTCATGAGGCAGAGCGTTCCACCAGGCCAGAGCCAGTGTTGAAAAGGCCCTGGCTCTGGTTGAAGCCAATCTAACTTCCTTAGGGCCTGGGACCTCTAGGGTGTTGCTATTTATGGACCTTGAGGCTCTCCGTGGGGCATACCGGGAGAGGCAGTCCCGTAGGTACGAGGGTCCTAGGCCGTGAAGGGAAAGTCCTTCTTCACGCAGCGCAGTGTTAAACTGTGGAACTCCCTCCCACTGGAAGCAGTAATGGCCAGCGACCTGGGTGGCGTTAAAAAAGGACTGGACAAATTCGCGGAGAGGAAGTCTACCAATGGCAACTAGCTTGTAACTGAAGGAGCATCTCCATTGTCCAGCCCAGACACAGAGGTCCAGCTCTGAGGGCCTTCTGGCAGTTCCCTCACTGTATAATCCAAAGAGTGGTGAGAAGAAGCCAGAATGAGATGGGGCTGAACAAGGAGATGAGAGACCCTTTGTGCCACAGAGCAGAGGCAAATGGACTCCTGCTCGCCCAGACCAGGGAACATTTCCCAGCATTGCCTTCTGATGTTGACCAGCTTTTGCGATTTTTATTACAGTGGCACCTCGGGTTAAGTACTTAATTCTTTCTGGAGGTCTGTTCTTAACCTGAAACTGTTCTTAACCTGAAGCACCACTTTAGTTAATGGGGCCTCCCACTGCTGCCGCACCGCCGGAACACAATTTCTGTTCTCATCCTGAAGCAAAGTTCTTAACCCGAGGTACTATTTCTGGGTTAGCGGAGTCTGTAACCTGAAGCGTATGTAACCTGAAGCGTCTGGAACCCGAGGTACCACAGTATTGCACATTCACTTGGATTGTAAAGTTCCACTCAGGTCATGAAAACGTAAGACCCCGCGGGGTGTAGCATGGGGGAGGGGGATTACTAGAGCGATTGTCCTAGGTTCAAAAAAAGTTAGGGGTGCGCCTCTGCAGCTGCCACCCCCTACTGGAGGCAGTCCCCATCTGGCTTCCCTTCCTCACCTGAGCAGTGCCGCGTGGAGTTGCTAGTTAAGGGACGCAGTACTTTCCTTGCCCTGGGCTGGCAACCCATGCTACACCACTGATGATGGAAGAGCCTGCTGAATCAAGCCAATGGCTCATCTAGTCTGGCATCCTGTTCTCATCGTGGTGAAGTAGATGCCCCAGACAGAAAGCCACGAGCAGGACCTGAGCACAAGAGCACCTTCCCCTCTCTGTGGTTTCCACCATCTGGTATTCAGAAGCAGGACTGCTTCCAAGTGTGGAGGCAGAGCAGAGCCATCATGGGTGGCGGCCGTTGATAGCCTTCTCCTTGATGGTTTTGTCCAATTAAAGTTGATGGCCCTCTCTGCCTCCTGTGGAAGTGAGTCTCATAGTTTAATTATAATAAATAATAATAATTTTTTATTTATACCCCACCCTTCCCAGTTCAGAAAACCGGGCTCAGGGCAGCTAACAACAAATTTAAAGCACTTAATTTATGCAACAAAAATACAGTATAAAACATGAATAACAATAAATTCAGAATTCAAAAATTAATTTAGGGGGGAAATCCATCCAATAAACATTAGATGATCACCAGGGCTAGCTGGCTAAGTTAGTCCTATTTGGGCCAGTGAGGAGACCAGGGGGGAATTAGCTGTGGGATCCCAGAGTGGGTAATCTTCATAAAGGGGGAGGGAAGGAAGGGGAATAAAAGATCAGGCTTAGTTCAAATTGAAAGCCAGGCGGAATAGCTCTGTCTTACAGGACCTGCGGAAGGAAGTTAAATCCTGCAGGGCCCTGGTCTCATGGGACAGAGCATTCCACCAGGTCGGAGCCATCACTGAGAAGGCCCTGGCCCTGGTGGCCGTGTGAAGAACTTTATCTTCCTGAATCTTCTGATATTCAGCTTCGTTGGACATCTACGAGTTTTAGTGTTACTAGAGAGAAAAATATATATGTGATTTTATAAACTTCGATCCTGCCTCTTCTTCCCTGTCCCATAGTCTCCAGTTAATCTGACGAAAATCAAGAAGTGTGTCTTTCGGAGCAGCGCTGCCACTCAAGCCAGCTGGCTATTGCGAGAGCGTGGCACCAAAAGAGGTGCGTCTTCTGTGCTCTCGTGGGAGCCAGCTGACTCGCGTGAGAGCGTGGCACCACTGCAAGCACCCGCTCATCCCCAGGACGTTCCAGGATCAAATCAGAAGCCAGGATGGCAGACCTGTCAGGAGTAAGCATGGACCAATGGTACCAAATAGTATGGGAAACAGCCCTACTAGAAAAATTAACTAATAAACTGAAACTGACACGGGGACAAACAGAAGAAGACACCTTCACCCCGGTATGGCTCCCCTTTATCACATACACAGCCCAACAGGACAATGACAATAATCCACCAACAGCATACAAATCAATATGGCTAACCTGATCCAAAACACCCACCCACCTCACTCACACACGAAAACAAAGATCACCACAGCCAATCACAAACAAACAATCACACCCTAGGCCAACCCCAACCTCTCTCACCACCAAAGGAACACAAGTGAACAACACAAGCACGCTGACACCAAACTCTACATACATTAAGCATAACAGAAACACCGCTACCCGACCCCACCCCCATCCATCTCCCCTCCCTCCACCCCCTTCCTTCCCCCCCTTTTTTTCCTTCTCCCCCTAATGCCTCAACAAATGAAACGGATTTGTAAAAATGTTACATGGAAAAAAAAATACGAGGCATTACACTTACACTGTAAAACAAGAAAACCCCTAATAAAATAGTTAAGCTCAGAAGCCAGGATGGCTTCTGTAATTCCAGGGATGTTCCAGGCAAATAGGGACGGATGGGGGTTATGCTGTTCTCTAAATTTAAAAATCACAAACACTGCAACCTTTCATATCCCCTTTATCATTTGTGTTGCCCTTTTCCAACTCTACAATATCCTTTTTGAGGCAAGGTGACCAGAACTGTACATCACATTCCATATGCGATCGCACCATAGGTTTGTATAATGGCAGTTTTATTTTCAGTTCCTGCCCTTATCATCCCTCACATGGATTTTGCCTTTTTCACAGCTGCCACATGCTGGGTCAACATCAGAGATAGACTGCATCCGAACCTGGAGGTTCTACTGGTTTCTTGCGGTTAATAGTTGTCGAGAGACATCTCTTTCCAGCCAGATATGTCTCATCTCCTCCCAAAGCCGGTGGCCGTGTGGCCACACCTTGTGGGTCAGAATTCCAGAATTATGTGCTGTCGAAGAATTTCAGAACGCTACGCTGGCCGACTTTCTTTCTGCTCATTGCACTCCCATTAAAAAGACACAAAACCCTGCCCAGAAAGAAAATGGTGACAGCTGTCGTCCGTCATGAGGACTCGGCCACACCTAACAGCGCAGGGTTGGGGCCTTGTCGAAACCCAGCCCTTTTGCAACGGAAACACAACGCAAAATGTCGAGGGAAAGTTCTCAAGTGCGTGATTGAAAGATCACACGCCGACAAGCCCAAGCAGGTGAGCAAAAGGCTTCCAATGCGCTGAGGTCAGCTTGGCCGCACCTATTGGTTATTTTTAGCAGAGTGGCGCTTCCTAAATTGCGAGGAGCCTGGTCTTGGGTAGGCAGCTCAACCTGCCTTGGGGCCTTTCACTCCTCAGATCTTTAATTGTCCAAATATGGGCACAGATTTGCTTAACATTTGCATGTGACAGTCTATATGGATCATTGTGAACTTTTCAGTTGATTGCAACTGATCTAGAACAAGGAGACCTTCAAGACTGGGGGGGGGGGGGGAGGCAGGGATGCTAACAGGATTTCCTGGGCCCAGTACATTGTAAGGGGATTGGTGCCCCACTTATTGAAAAGATCTGCTGTTTCTCTGCATATCTTAACTTAGCCTAGCCTACCTGGCAGGACTGTTGTTGTAATCAGTTTGGTTTCTTCACTGCTAATTGAAACTTTCCAGGCCTCTCTCTCTCTGGCCCTCACGATGCCGGAATCAGGCCTTTAGTGGGGCAGCCCCTTCTTTCTGTAACATCCTCCTGCCTCTTATTGCCTTTTCAGTGCTTACCAAATACCTTCCAATTCCAGCAAGATTTCCCCTTTTAAATCCCAACCTGCATTGTACTGGATTTGAAATGGTTGTTGTTTATGTCCGTCAGTGTTTTCATTAATGGTTTCCTCGTGTTACAAAACAAGCAAGCAAGCAAGCAAGCAAACAAACAAACAAACAAACAGGGAAAAGTACACATAGCATCTCCACAGTTCGCTTACGTTAGGTATGAGACGCTACTGCAATGTTTTTTTTTTATTGTTAAATCGCTTTGGGGTGCTTGTTGGCATCCTCAGATGTGGCCCTCGAGGCCTCCTGTCTGGCCCTTGGGACCCCAGCAAGGCCCTCACCAGTGTTCCTTGAGCATTTCTGCCTGATTGGAACATGTCCTTAAACACTGATGATAAGATCCTAAGAAAAACCTGCTGGATCCGGCCAGTGGCCCATCTAGTCCAGCCTCCTGTTCTTACAGCGGCCAACCAGATGCAACCCACATGCAGGATCTGAGCACAAGAGCCCTCTCTCCTCCTGTGGTTTCCAGTAAGGTAAAAAAAAAAAAAAAAGGGACCTCTGAACAGTTAAGTCCAGTCAAAGGCGATTATGGGGTTGTGGCGCTCATTCTCACTTTTCAGGCCAAGGGAGCCGGTGTTTGTCCACAGACAGCTTTCCGGGTCATGTGGCCAGCATGACTAGGCCGCTTCTGGCGCAACAGAACACCGTGACGGAAACCAGAGCGTACGGAAACACCGTTTACCTTCCCACCACAGTGATACCCAGTGCTTTTTTTCTTAAAAAACGTTTAGGGGTATTCTCATTTTCCTACTCATATTGAAATACTGCCCCTCAATGAGGCCAAACTTAGATTCACAAAATGTTTAGGGGTATGTGTACCCCTGCATACCCCCAGAAAGAAAAAAAGCACTGGCGGTACCTTCTGTATTTTTCTGTGTATAACACAGTGCTTTTTTGCTAAAATAAAGAAATAGGCAAAAATTGGGTGTCGTCTTATACATGGATAGTGAATGCAGAGGGGGGACGTGCGATGGCAACAGCAAGCAGTAGATTAGCAGCAGCGATTGGGTGGGTGATTGGTGGCTGAGGCAAGGCCTGCTGGCGATTGGCTGCAGCTGCAGCAATTGGGCAGGCGATTGGTGGCTGTGGCAAGTGGGCGGGTGGGCGGTTGGTGGCGGCGAGTGGGCAGACAATTGGCTGCGGCAAGGTGTGCGATCGGCAGTGGCTATGGCAAGCAATTGGCAGTGGCGGGCAAGCGGGTGAGCAATTGGTGGATGTGACCTCCCCCCCAAAAGCTAAACAAGTTAATTTCTTAATTTTGGGTTAAAAAAAAAATCGGAGTCGTCTTATACACGGAAAAATACAATATTTATCTACTTACACTGGCATGCTTTCAAACTGCTAGGTTGGCAGGAGCTGGAACAGAGCTCACCCCGTCATGGGGATTCAAACCACCAACCTTCTGATTGGCAAGTCCAAGAGGCTCAGTTGTTTAGACCACAGCAGCACCCACATACTTGGTTTTTAGCAGCTGGTTTTCGGAAGCATTGCTGTCTCAAGCTGTGGTGGCAGAGCAGAGCCATAATAGCCTTCTCCTCTTCCTCCATGAATTTGCCCATTCCTCTTCTAAAGCCATCCAATTTGGCTGCCATCCCTGCCTCCTGTGGAAGGGAGTTCCACAGTTTAACAGTTCTTTCTTTTCCCAAAATTCAGCTCCATTGGATGCCCACGAGTTCTAGTGTTATGAGAGGGAGGAAAACTAAGATTTGACAAACTTTTCTCTTATCTCCAGCGGCAGGAAGGAGTCCCATCCGGTGGGGTTGGGGTGGGAATCCCCAATCACCAGTGTCCAGGTCTGTGTATCCAGGGTGGGGCTCATATGTTAGCGCACTGGGTGACTCAAACCCTTTCACACTTCAGTGGCAGAGAAATATTTTCAATCTCGCCCAGCCCTGCTTTAGGATTTCCACATTCGGATCTCCAAAGGGCTGCTTCTTTCTTTTTTCAATATTTATTTACGCAACGTCAAGTTGGCACACGCAGAGCTTTTGTACATAGATTCTATTGGCAAAATTAACTCTCATTTTGCGTAACGTGCGCCTAAAAGTAAATAGAAGAAAAATAAGAAGAGGAAAATTCAGGAAACGAGAAGAAGAAAGAATAGTAGATCTGTTTAAGAACATAAGAGCCTGTGGGTTCAGGCCCAGGCCCCTCTAGTCCAGCATCCTGTTCTCACACTTGCCAACCAGATGCCCATTATGGGAAAAGCAGGATTTGAGCATAAGAGCCCTCTCCTCTTCTCTGGCTTTCAAAAGCATTCCTGACTTTTCTCTAAGCTAAAAATTCCCAAATGCTGCAGCCTTTCTTCATAGGACTGATCTGTCCCCACCTTTATTATTTTGGGTCCCCTTTTCTGAACTTTTGTCAACTCTGCAATATCCATTCTGAGACGAGGCCACCAGAACAATTTAAGCTTCAGTTCCTTCTCCTGTGGCAATAAAACTGTGATGTAACATACATGTCTGATCCCTGCCAAAGGCAACATGCCTTGCGACCAGCACCAAATTTGAACAAGACAACAGGAGGGCATGGGGGGGGAGTCTGCATTATAATATTATTATTGTCATTTATTTATTTATTTTAAAATGTCCCACATCTTCTACACACACGGTGGGTAAACATACAAAAACCCAGCCTTTCTGGAATTTGATATTCAGAGAAATTAATAATGAAACAACAATGGGCAGTCGAACCAGAATTAGCTTTATTACATGTATTTCAAGACAACAATCTGGATTTCCATAGTAAAGAATGAATAAGCCATTTATTACAAGTGGCAACATGCAACATACTGGAGTGACCTTTCTGGCACAATGATAGAGAATTGGTACAAAACAGTTTGAGAAACAGCCCTCCTTCAGAGATTAACAAATATACTATGGTTGACACGTGGACAGAAGGTTTGAGCCCAGTGTGGTTGAATTTCATGACATATCCTTCATTGGGGGGGGGGTTAAGTAGAGGTAGGATAGCCACGGCCCTTGGGACCCCTGCCAACTCTAGTTTTATGAGTCTATGCCAGTATTCCAGAAAATGAACAATTTTCCCTCACCCCATCAGCATATGTCTCAAGCTGGTTGATCGAAATTTAAATTTAAATGTAAATTATAATCTTCACTTTGAACCCCCTCCCCTATTTATCAATAAACCAACACTTTATATTTTTTTTCCATTGGTAACATAAGAGGAACAATGACTATTACTCATACTTAATTGAAGCACAACCACAAGGGCTCCCGGTTGGACTTTTATCTATGCGATGCTGAATGTTCCCTGATAATTCTGTTCTATCCTGTTTCCCATTTGTGTTTGTTTAAACCAAGAACCTTTACATTGATCACTAACGCACCATATGTCGCAGACATTGCTGCAAATTTATTGTGTTGTTTTTTGTGTTATACAAATGACATGAGAAGACTCTTTATTCGCATCATTTATTATCCCCAGGACTGTTGTTTACCAAACCCAATAAAAAGTCATTTAAAGAAAGGGAAAGGAAAGGAAAAAGAGGAAACAATCACAGCCAGCTTAGGAACGTGACATTCGAAAAAGTGAATGGAGGACAGGCTTATATTGCTGAGTGGAAGAATAAAACCTGGAGAAGGAAGGTGGTCAAGGTTGTGAGTGTTGATGTAACAGGGCTACTTTGGGGCGAGTGGGTGGCTGTCCTGTCTGGATGGAATCAGACTGCAAACAGACACGGGAGGGCAGGGCCACACTTAAAGTATGTTCGCAGTGCACATTTCAAGCACACAACTTCCCCCAAAGAATTATGGGAACTGTAGTCTTCCCGTCGCACAGCTACCGTCCCCAGCGAGCCTAGCAAACTACAGTTCCCAGAGTTCTTTGGGGGAAGTCATGTGCTTGAAATGTGCGTTTTAGACGTAGGGTGTGTGTTGATCTGCCCAGAGACCCAACCCGGGGGGGGGGCTCTAGGAAGCAGGGCTGAGGTGGTGGGGGCTTGGCATGTCCATGGCAGGGGGAGGGGGAGGCGCAGGAGGGGCAGGAGGGATGTGGTGCGTATCATAGCGGCTGCCTTGGAAGGGGTCTTGGCGCGGGGGCTCCTCTTGGTTTTCCGGTGGGCCTGGGCGGCAAAGCTTGAAGCTGGAGAGAGAGAGAGAGAGCACAGAGCATGAATGTCGGAGGAGAGCTGGGAACGAGTGATGGGGGCGGCATCAGAAACTGCCTTCTTATACTGAGTCCGATCACTGCTCCATTTAGCTCAGTACTGTCTACACGGACTGGCAGTGGCTCCCAGGGAATTCAGGCAGGGAGCCTCTCCAAGCCCAAACCGGAGGCGATGGGGCTCGAACCTGGGATCTTCTGCCTGCGAAACAGATGCTCTCCCATGGAGGTTTGGCCTTAGCCTTGCAACTCAGTGGTGCTTACATCTGACAGCATGCGTTCGTTCATTTTTTAATATATTTTGAAATATCCCACTTAAGAAGGAAAAGAAGAGTTTGGATTTGATATCCCGCTTTATCACTACCCTAAGGAGTCTCAAAGCTGCTCACAATCTCCTTTCCCTTCCTCCCCCACAACAAACACTCTGTGAGGTGAGTGGGGCTGAGAGACTTCAGAGAAGTGAGACTAGCCCAAAGTCACCCAGCAGCTGCATGTGGAGGAGCGGGGAAGCGAACCCGGTTCACCAGATTACGAGACTACCGCTTTTAACCACTACACCACACTGGCTCTCTTAATATAAGCACAGATCTTCCAGCGGTTTACATGCGAAGCAATGCAAGCGCAACTCAGTTCTGCTTGTAAGAAAACGTTGAGCTTTAGCAAAATGTGACGCAGCTGCTGTTTGAACTGCTAGCCTGAATCAGGAATCCCATCAAAGGAAAGGGAAAACGTAACTAGCCTGTGGGCTGGATGGTTTTCCTCATCCTCCGACTCCCTCTGTGCTAACAAACCTGAAAGTCCCATTATGAGGGGAGCAGGGAGGGCCTGTTGATCACTTTGGTGTTTTAGCAGAAGGCCTCACTGAGGTAAAACCCGGGACTTGCCCTCTACCACAATCCCCTTCCAGTACCCCACTAAGCCTGCTGGCTTCTCTCAAATCTAGGATTCCAGGCAGCAAAGTCTTACCATTCATAGCTGACAGTGCTTAGGAAGCCGATGGTGACAACCCCACAAAGGGCAGAGAGAATAGTGGTGATGACGATCATGTCTCCACTGCGACGTCCAGGCCAGGTATCCACTGTCTCCCACGCTTCACCTGAAAGGGATAACGAAAGGAGGCAATTTTCTTATCGGTTCCTCAGCTGCCTGAAATTCTGGGGAGCAGCTGCCAGTCAGTGTAAACAATATTGAGCTAGATGGTCTGACTCAGGTGCCTTTGTGAGGACTCTGCCAGTTACCCTGCCCGCTTGGTCAGCTTCTGGTGACAGGGCACCATGTTGCCCTTTGCCTCAGGTGGCAAATCACATTGAGCCAGCCCAGATCTTCTCTGCAAGCCTCTTTCTTTTATAACATACCTCCTTTCAACGGAATTGGAGCGGACCACTTTGTTTCAGCTTTCGGTCCTTTGGAATCCATGATGAGGAATTTCACTCTGAGGAGGAGTTTAAAAAGAGACAGAGGTGGGTGAGTGGAAATATCAGGGATGTCTTACTAAACTTTATTGGAACAAATCACTGGTTGAATCTAGGTCCAGCGTGTGCATCTAGACTTGGTTTCTCTCTGTCTCTCATTTCCCCAGCCCTAAATTTGGCTTTTCACATTTCCACATCACCCTGCCTTAGGAAAATTCACTTGCATTCCCCCTAATAAACACACGTTCGTATGCAGTCTTGCTTAATATACACATTCTTTGCAAGATGTATTCCCCCTGCTATTTATATTTCCCCTAATATAAAGCATTAGTGTATGTTATTTTTGCTAATATACTCATTCTTCTGCATGTTTTACCCCAGTATATGCATTTGTGTACGCATAACTTAACCAGAGAAGTGCAAATTTCAGAGGATGGCTGGGATTTTTTTAGTTTGCATGTTCTCTTGGAAATAATTATGTGGGTTCACCTTTCAATGTAAACTGAGCCCAATCTAATGGAACCACCTTCGTCATCTGGGGCCTGGTGACCACCCCAAGATCTCCTGCAATGATTTTGCAAAGTTCTTTGCAGATAAAGTCGCTCAGATTCAGAAAGAGGTAGACTTCACGATGTGTGGGATCAATTCCAATCTGTTACCTCCGAGGATGTGGACAGGCTGCTTGGATAAGTGAAACCAACCACCTGTCTCCTTGATCCTTGCCCATCCTGGCTTATAAAAGCGAGCCAGGAAGGGCTGGGCGATGGGCTCTGCGGGGTGGTGAATGCTTCCCTCAGTGAGGGAGCCTTCCCAGACCCACTGAAAGAGGCAGTTATTAAACTGTTTCTTTAAAAAACCACACATATTTGGACCCAGCCAATATGGCCAACTATCATCCAGTCTCAAATCTTCCATTCTTGGGAAGGTGATTGAGCTGGTGGTTGCTGAACAACTCCAAGCACCCTGGATGATGCGGACCATTTTGATCCCTTCCAATTGGGATTCAGGCCTCACCATGGGACTGAAACTGCCTTGGTCGCACTGGTCGATGATCTCTGGCGGGCTAGGGACAAAGGTGAAAGCTGTTTCCTAGCCCTGCGGGATCTCTCAGCGGCCTTTGACACCATTGACCATGACATCCTTCTGGATCGTCTAGAGGGGCTGGGAGCTGAGGGCACTTCCTCCTGGGCTGTGTTCAGAAAGTGGTGTTGGGGGGATGAGTGTTCAGACCCCTGGGCTCTCACTTGTAGGGTGCCTTGGGGTTCCGTCCTCTCCCCCATGCTTTTTAACATCTACATGAAGCCTCTGGGAGAGATCATCAGGGGGTTTGGGCTGGGTGTCCATCAATATGTGGATGATACCCAGCTCTACCTCTCCTTCAGATCAGAACCAGTGAGGGCAGTGAAGGTCCTGTGTGAGTGTCTGGAGGCGGTTGGAGGATGGATGGCAGCTAACAGATTGAGGTTGACAGAAGCACTGTTATTGGGGGACAGGGGGTGAGCAAGTGTGGAGGACTCCCTGGTCCTGAATGAGGTAATTGTCCCCCTGAAGGACCAGGTGTGCAGCCTGGGAGTCATTTTGGACTCACAGCTGTTCATGGAGGTGCAGGTCAATTCTGTGTCCAGGGCAGCTGTCTACCAGTAGGTAAGCTAAGACCCTCCCTGCCCGCAGACTGTCTTGCCAGAGTGGTGCATGCTCTAGTTATCTCCCGTTTGGACTACTGCAAAGTGCTCTACGTGGGGCTACCTTTGAAGGTTACCTGGAAACTGCAATTAATCCAGAATGCAGCAGCTGGACTGGTGACTGGGAGCGGCCACCGAGACCATATAACACTGGTCCTGAAAGACCTACATAGGCTCCCAGTATGTTTCCAAGCACAATTCAAAGTGTTGGTGCTGACCTTTAAAGCCCTAAATGGCCTTGTCCCAGTATACCTGAAGGAGCGTCTCCACCTCCATTCTAATCAGGAAGCTGCAACTTGCTCAATAAATGTCAATCTAAACTTTCTCTGCAAGGGAGACTCACCTGATCGCAGGGCGGAGGCCTTTACTGTATCTTCCAGGCCTGTGTTTAAAATAGGACACAGAGCCCTGACTGCACCCATAATAAGCTCCTTCGCCTGAGGCCTCGTTCCAGTCCCTCAGAAATGTCAACTCACGTGGAGTGCAATGTGGAATTTCTGGCTGAACAGATCTGCCCTGCCATGGATGTTTGGGTAGAGGGATGGTTCCGAGCCGTCAGAAACTCAAGGTGCCTCAGGCTTCAAACAAGCCAGGACTGACGACACGGTCGCTTCATTTCTAAGAGGGGTGTGTGGCGTTTACAGACATCTCTGGAAGCCATGTTTTAATTTTATTATAGTTTAATTGCTTTTTAATTATTATCTTGGAGCTTTCTATATTTTATCGGTGTTGATTTAATTTGCGTAAGCTGCCTTGAGCCCTGGTTTGAGGGAAAGGTGGGATAATAATAATAATAATAATAATAATAATAATAATAATAATGTTAAGAGTTTGAGGTGTTAGGTTGTATGCCGAGACCCTTCCAATCCCTGGATCCAGCGAGTGTTAGAATTTAATCAGGCTTCTAATTATTGGAAGAGCCAGGCTAGCCTTCTGGTGGAAGCGATAGCCTGGGTGATGAGCCATTAAGGGGAACAAAGAAAAGGGGCTCTGTGCGAGATGGCCAGTGGGTGAAGCCCCTCCCTCAACTCCAGGTAATTAGAAAGACAGAGCGAGAGTTGAGAGCAGAGAGATGCAGTGATATGAGCTAGAGGCAAAGCAGGAAGCTGGGAAGAAAGAGAGAGAGAGAAAGAAAGAAAGAAAGAAAGAAAGAAAGAAAGAGAGAGAAAGAGAGAAAGAGAGAGAAAGAGAGAGAAGCAAGGCCCCACTGGAGTGTTATTGCTGTGAGCCCCTCCATCGTAGGCTCAGGTTGTATATATGTGTCAATAAACCATTATATCCTAAAGACACCACGGTCTCTGCTGTGCCACATCTCCAAAAGGGAACACGATCCCTGGGGAAGCGCCTGGAACCCCTGGAATCTCGCATTGGGGTGGCAAGCAACAACAATAATAGTTGAATTGGCTAAGGGTCTCTGTCTGAGTTTCCCATGCAAATTCAGCTCCTCTGCTCTGCATCAAGTCAGCTGATGAATTGTTACCTGAAAGAGGCAGGAGAAGGCAGCGGCCCATTGCAGGTGGTCTGGGTGTCGTCGTTCTTGCAAGACGATTCGCCTCCTACCCGGAGGACGGTATTGGGATTACCGGCTTTGCAGTACTGGGCGGGGGTGGACTTCATGGTCATGTAGCCGTGAGAGGTGAACAGAGCTTCGTATGGTGGGATCTCTTGAGGTGTTTTGGGGTTCTTGAATCTGGCTGTGGCTGTTGGGTGGAGGAGGCATAGCGGGGGCAGGAATGAAACATTTTGCTGGTGAAGGAATATTTCTGTAAGGACCAAGACGGCCCCCTTTGCTTGTGGAATACCTCCAGCCTCATATAACCAACATGCTTAACTCTAATTAATGCACAAAGGGGTTAATATCATAGAGTAAGCTGTCCTGCCAGGCTTAGCGAGGTCACACCCCATCACCTTGGGAGAAAGGACTACCAAACTCTTCTTAAACCTTTCCCCCATGTGAACCAACCAGTAAGGATGTTTGGGCTGGTTGCTCCAAAACCAGACTGCATGTTTTTAGCAAGCCATCTTTGCGTTTCTATCAGGACCAGATTTAGGTTTGATGAGGCCGTAAGCTACTGAAGGTAAGGTAAAGGGACCCCTGACCATTAGGTCCAGTCGTGGCCGACTCTAGGGTTGCGGTGCTCATCTCGCTTCATTGGCCAAGGGAGCCGGCGTACAGCTTCCGGGTCATGTGGCCAACATGACTAAGCCGCTTCTGGCGAACCAGAGCAGGGCACGGAAATGCCTTTTACCTTCCCGCCGGAGTGGTACCTATTTATCTACTTGCGCTTTGATGTGCTTTCGAACTGCTAGGTTGGCAGGAGCAGGGACCAAGCAATGGGAGCTCATTCCGTCATGGGGATTCAAACTGCCGACCTTCTGATCAGCAAGTCCTAGGCTCTGTGGTTTGACCCACAGTGCCACCCGCGTCCCTCTGCTGAAGGTAATGGGACCCTTTATATGTCCAGCTGTCCTTTGAGAACAACAAATTGCCGCTGTTTTCTGTGTTGAATATATGCTATATGGTAATTTATGGACATAATTTGCACATAACATAAAGCAATTTGCACATAACAAAATATGTATTTTATCAAAGTAATTGTTGAACTGAAATACAACTAAGAAGAAGTATATTAATATTAAAATTTGGGGGGGCACTCCCTAAGCTATAGCTTGTTTAGCTTATACATAAAATTTAGAAACATTTACCATTTTGTAACCTAAATTAAGCTGTCTGTCTTTTCTTGCTGCTTCAAGTTGATTTATTTATTGCTGAAAGCTTGCAGCCCTGGCTTTAAGGCGGTTACATTAACTGCCAACATGCCATCTCTACTCATCTTGCTTGCTAAAATATCTGAGTGCTGCAGCAACTCAGACTGGGAGGGATGTCAAAAATTAAAACTGGGAAATAGAAAAGTAAAAGTTGCAGGTAGTTTTGTGTTGACAAGGGTTTAAATTGAGAAACCCCCCCAACCCCATTGTCCAGATTTTGGTGGGCTCTACAAAAAGCTCACCGCAGACTCACCGTTCGCATACGTGACCACCAACCAGATATTGTCCGAGGCATTGGCAAATCGGTCAAAAATGCAGTGGGGTAGCGTCAGGGCGAAGGTGCTTTGAGTGGTTTTCCCTTCCAACGGCTTGTTGGAGACAGAGGGGGTGTAGGAGATCGTCTCTGAAAAGACACAGGAAGATTCAGTGGGTTCCTACTCCCAGATGCAGAAAAATGTGAGGTACGCAAACAGACATCATCAGAAGGGCATCAGGAGACGCCTGCAGCTGCATTGGGCCAAAGGGGGCCAGGCATCCAGTTCTCATGGCAGCCAGCCAGACACTCCAAAGGGAAGTGAGGCAGTGTGATCTAGTGGTTAGAGCACTGAGACTTAGGGCCTGGGGAGACCAGGGTTCAAACCCCCACTCGGCCATGAGGAAGCTCACTGGGTGACCTTGGGCCAGTTACTGTCTCTCGACCTAACCTACCTTCCAGGGTTGTGTGAGGATAAAACAGAGAGAGGGAGAACCATGCATTTATTGATTGATTACAGTGGTCCCTTGGGTTAAGAACTTAATTCGTTCCAGAGGTCCGTTCTTAACCTGAAACTGTTCTTAACCTGAGGTACCACTTTAGCTAATGGGGCCTCCCGCTGCTGCTGCCGCCGCCATCACTGCCGCCCTGCGATTTCTGTTCTCATCCTGAAGCAAAGTTCTTAACCCCAGGTACTATTTCTGGGTTAGAGGAGTCTGTAACCTGAAGTGTTTGTAACCTGAAGCGTCTGTAACCCAAGGTACCACTGTACAGCACCTCCTCCTTCAAGGAGCTCATGGTGGTGTACATGGTTCCCCCATTTTATCCTCACAGAAACCCTGTGAAGTAGATTAGGCTGGGGAATGTTGACCGGCAGTGCTGTTTTCCTCCCTTAAAAAAATATTTAGGGTTACTCTCATTTTGACTCAAGAAGGTCACCATTTTATAGTTCAAATCTGGGAAAATAAATACAGTAAATGGACAAAAGTACAAAGATTCACAAAATGTTTAGGGATATGCTTATCCCTGTGTACCCCCAGAAAAAAATAATCACTGGTGACTGGCCCAAGGTCACCCAGTGAGCTTCCTCATTTCTGAGTGGGGATTCGAACCCGGGTCTCCCAGGGGCTGATCCAACACTCCTACGGTTACACCACATGGGCTTTCCTTGCTGCCTTGAGCTCCTTGCAGGAAAGGTGGGAGGCAGATGCAATAAATAAATAAGTAAATAATCCCCCAATCAGGAACACAGTGGAGAGAAGACATTGTCATCACAACTAGTAGCCATTGTCAGCTTTATCCACCACGACTGTGTCTAAGCCCACCTTTAAAGTTTAAACAAACTACTAACTTCCCCCAAATAATAATGGGATCTGTCGCTTCTTAAAGATGACGATAGTTGTTAGGAGACACCCCCCCATTCCCCTCCCACAGCTACAATTCCCATAGTTCCCTGCAAAGCAGGATTGTTAAACCACTCTGGGAATCGTGGTTCTCTGAAGGAATTAAGGGTCTCCTGACATCTCTCAGCACCCTCAACAAACCACAGATCCCATAGTGGTATTGTAGTGCTTTGAACATATGGCGGGAATGGGGCCTCTATTCACTAATCCCTGCAATTTTTAGAGTGTATAAATTTACACAAGACAAGCTCCTCTTTTTTCTGGACAGATCAACCAGGCACCCTCCCAACTCCTTCTGTTCCCCCCAAATGGCCATGTAATCTAGTGTTTCTCCAGGTGAGGGCAGCAAGCCTGCTGCCAGGCTCAACAGCTCTGGATACCTCTGAGATGAAAGAGACCATAGCATAGGTGCCGACTGCAACCCTCAGAATGGGAGCCCCCCATAGTACGATCCTTCCTCTCTCCAGTGATCTTAGAAGATGGATTTTCAAGAAAACCTGGATCACATTCACACTATACAATACTACTTTAAACAGACATGGCTTCCCCCAAAGAATCCTGGGAGCTGTAGTTTGTTAAGGGCACTGAGAGTTGTTTGGAGGCGAATATAATGGTATCTCAGGTTACATACACTTCAGGTTACAGACTCCGCTAACCCAGAAATATCACCTCGGGTTAAGAACTTTGCTTCAGGATGAGAACAGAAATTGTGCGGTAGCAGCGGGAGGCCCCATTAGCTAAAGTGGTGCTTCAGGTTAAGAACAGTTTCAGGTTAAGAAAGGACCTCCAGAACGAATGAAGTACTTAACCTGAGGTACCACTGTATATGGAAAATGGTGTATAGATGGTATTTGACACCAATTAAATTCGCAAAAAATGTATAGAACATCTGATAATTTATGTTGGAAATGTAAAGAAAAAGAAGGTAACTTTCACCATATGTGGTGGACTTGCCCTAAGGTTTTGAAAGCATACTGGGACATGATCTATAATGAACTTAAGAAAGTGTTTAAGAGCACATTCCATAAGAAACCAGAAGCTTTCTTGTTAGGTATTTTAGGAGAAGAGATCCCTAAGAAAGACCATACTATATTGTTATACGCAACAACAGCGGCAAGGATTCTTTCAGCCCAGAAGTGGAAACAGCAAGAAACGCCGATAGTAGAAGAATGGCAGAACAAGAGGATCGAATATACAGAGATGGCAAGACTGTACGGGAAAATCCGAGACCAGTGAGACCAACAGTTTGAAAAAGACTGGAGTAAATTTATTATTTATTTGAAAGAACACTGTAACCATTTAACAACACTAACAGGACTGGCTTAAAGGTTTGTCAGTTAAAATTAGAAACTTATTTACAATGATAAGGAATCTTAAAGTAAAGGAAAGGTAGATGGGGGGAATGAGAAATGCAGATGAAATTATAATTGGAAGTTAGAAAGTCAGTTGGGTGGGATGGGGCGAAGTCGTTGACTCGAGAGAGTCAGAATATAGGTAATGTAAAGATATGTAAAATCACATTGTGTTTTTTGAAAACGAAAATGCCAATAAAAATTATAATTAAAAAACAGAGTTGTTAGGAGGCCCTATCCCCCCCCCCCCCGGTCAAAGAGCTAAAATTCCTGGAGTTCCCTCTTCCCTGTTAAGCCACTTTGGGAATTGTAGCTCTGCCAGGGGAAAGAGGTGGAGTGTTCGTTAAACAGCCAGTGTGGTGTATTGGGTAGAGTCTCAGACTAGGATCTAGGAGACAAGGGTTCAAATCCGCCCCCTTCCCCCAGATGGCCATGAAGCTCACTGGGTGACCTGGGGGAACGGGGCAGTCACTGCCTCTCAGTCCAATCTACCTCACAGGGCTGTTGTGGGGATTAACTGGGAGAGAGAGACCCACGTACGCCACCTTGAGCTCCTTGGAGAGCCAAGGTGGGATAGAGATGAAAGAAACACATAATAAACTCTCAGTACCCTTCACAAACTACAGCTCCCAGAATGCTCTGGGGGAAAGCCATTACTATATATAATGGTATCACAGGGTTTAAAAGTTCTCCTGAATAACTGGGCAAAGGGTAGGTGTTTTGCTGCCTGAGGCAAATCCCCTCCCCAATAGAGATGGGCAAATCATTTTCCCATTCTTCAAGTCTCCACATTTCCACATCAGTTTTGCAATTTAAAAAGAAAGTAACATGCCATGAAAATTTGGTAGCGTTGAAGTTTGAATTTCTCCAAATCTACATGTTCTTATGCAATTTGGCCTTTCTTTCTTTTTCTTTTTACAAAGTAATATCCGGAATAGAATGCATGTTTTAAATATCTTTCCTTCACGGATATATGCAGATTTTATGCAGATTTTACCACAGTACTTGCATTTTTGTGCCATTTATCCGGTTGAAGAATGACACTACAAAATTTGGAGAAGCGTGAATTCTGAAGGATGGATGCGTTTTGGTTCAAGCATTGTTTCAGGAAGAGCAAATTTATCTTTAAATAGGAACTGAATCAAATTTATTCCTTCCATTCCGCCTACCCTGGTCATCATCACTCAAGGCGCATCAAACTTCCGACATTCATCTTTGTTCGAGGTCCACAAATTCTAGTGTTATGAGGGAGAAAAATTTTCTTCTGTCCGCTTTCTCTGCCTAATTTTATAAACTTCTATCATGCTGCCTCTTACTCAGCTTTTCCTCTAAACTAAAAAAAATCCCAAGCACTGCTCCACACACATATGCCACATTTTAAAGCACATTATTTTCCCCAAAGAATCATGGGAACTGTAGTTTCCCCCTCACAGAGCTACAGAGCCCCCAGGACTTTGCAAATCTACAGTTCCATACCCTCCAACATTTCTCCTCCCAACACGTATAAAAATGCAATAAAACATTAAACATTAATAAAAATAAAAAATAAAAAAATCTTCCTTATACAGGGCCGCCTTCAGACGTCTTCTAAAGGATGGAGTTATGCGACCCCTTTGGCTCGGGGGGGTCGCATAACTCCATACCCTCCAACTATTCTCTGATGAAAATAGGGTCACCCTAAGGAAAATTCTGGGATCAAATCATAAAATGGGACGGCTTCTGTAAATCCAGGACTGTCCCTGGAAAATATGGACACTTGGAGGGTCTGCAGTTCCCAGGATTCTTTGAAGGAACTACCCCAAAATCCTGGGGATGAGTCAGAATATATATAAAATTATCTTTAAAATAGTCACCTATGCCAGCGACAGTCCCCCCAGCTGCCAGCAGCAGAAGCAAAAGGAAGGAGGCCATCTTCACACAGCCCGGATCTTCTCCAGATGTTTCTCCTCACTAAAACAGGAGATGGTCAGGACCACAGAAACCGCTTCTCTTGCTGTCCTGGGTGCAAGTGAAGAGAGGACCACTGAGGCGAAAGATCTTCCTCCTCAACTGGCTGGCTCTTTTTCTTTTTTTGCTTTGCCTTCAGGGGCTGCCCTAAGCCATTCCCCACTTTCCACATTCCTCCCAGCCTGTGTAAGGAGGATTTTGACCCTGATAGTGAGCAGGTTTGTCTTGTTTTTATTCTGCCCCACCGAAAAAACACACACACAACAGCCACCAAGAGGAACATGGGAAGAGCTTGCCGGATGAGACCAGCAGCCCCTCTGGTCCAGGTGTGATGGATCAAGATGCTTCATAACCAAATCTGCCTTTGTGTCGAGAACAGAAGTTTTCTGGGACTGAGTTTCTCAACCTATTGTCATTCCTGAATTTTATTTTATACCTTCCATCAAAAAATTAATTCGCAGGGAGGTCCCCTGTAGACTTTTTTATTTATTAATAATGCCCAGTGTTATTTTTTTCCAGAAAGAGAGAACTCACCATGAACGCTTCCCTGGTTTTATTTAAAAAAAAAAAAAGCCATCCCAGTTTCTGATTTGATCCCAAAATGTCCCACTTTTCCTTAGGACTATTTTCATTGGAGAAATGTTGGAGGGTATGGAATAGGACCAGTGCCAGATTTACCTATAAGCTAAACAAGCTACAGCTTAGGGCCCCACTCTCTTGGAGGGACCCAAAAAATTAAAGGTAAACAACAACTGGATGAACATTTCCAAAACGTAAGATAAAAAGTAAAATAAAACCTACATACAGCAACAGTGTTTTGTGTTGTGTAGGCTCCTATTTGTTACGTGCAAATAGCTTTAGATATCTATTAGGTCCATAAATTACCATATAGCATATATTCAACACAAAAAACAGGGACAATTTGTTGTTGACAAAGGACAGCTGGACATATAAGGGGCCCCATTACCTTCAGTAGCTTAGGGCCTCATCAAATTCTGTTATTTGTACTGCCCAACACTTCGTTAAGCTACAGGTCCATACACTCCAACATTTTTCTGATTAAAATAGGGATGCCCTATCCCATAATTGTAGTAGTACTGGTGGTGGTAGTAGTAGTAGTAATTACTATTATTTTATTATTTGTAACCCACCCATCTGACTGGGTTGCTCCAGCCACTCTGGGTGACTTCCAACACATATAAAAACATAATAAAACATTAAAAATAAACTTCCCTATAAATGGTCCATAAATGCTTTTAAGTTAAGAAATAAGCAACATTTGAGGGCAAATGTTTGTAGGTCCATCAACCAGGCCAGAGGAACACAGGAAAAGAACAGCGTGGCAGGTGGGAGACAGGAAAGGCAGAAACACTTGAAAAATGCCACCAGACCTGTCTGGATTGGGGAGTGGGTACACATATGTGCAAAAGTCCCAGCCATGCTACCTGTCACACAGGTTACAGACAAGGCTAGGGGGTAATGCTGCCAAACCAGTTCCACAAGGCTGGGTTGTACTGGGCAGTCCATTAATGTGGGCAGGCAGGTCTGAGCTGCCCCAAAGAGACGTGAGATTAAATGATGAGTAAACTCCTGAGAGCACAGGGCACTCATTCGAAGAGGAGGGTGCCTGATGTCTCTCTGGGTGATCCACTGCTTTGGCATTTCCTCCCTGCAGCCAAGCTTCTGCAGGGAGGGGGCAGAACGATAATGTCTCTGTGCCTTGGAAGCAAAGACGCCCTGGGACTGCTTCTACTCAGAGGAGGTAGCTCACTCTGTCTCTGACGCAAGTTTTCTGTCCTCCTTCCAATGAGCTCTTTTTGGGTTGGGTGATCCACCAAAAAATAAGACAAAATCCAGATATTCCCAAGGCTCACAGTCTACAACACTATAGGATGCCTCTTCTTGAACCTTTCCCTCTCTTTAAATTGGGGTTTTCATCCCTTGCCAGAGAAGGATGACCTCACCAAGTGGCTGTGTTTGAATACAGTGGTACCTCGGGTTAAGAACTTAATTCGTACTGGAGGTCCGTTCTTAACCTGAAACTGTTCTTAACCTGAAGCACCACTTTAGCTAATGGGGCCTTCCGCTGCTGCTGCGCTGCCGCTGCACCATTTCTGTTCTTATCCTGAAGTGGCGCTGTTTGTTAAATCACAGAGCCTAGGACTTGCCGATCAGAAGGTCGGTGGTTCGAATCCCCAGGACGGGGTGAGCTCCCGTTGCTCGGCCCCTGCTCCTGCCAACCTAGCAGTTCGAAAGCACATCAAAGTGCAGGTAGATAAATAGGTACCGCTCTGGCGGGAAGGTAAACAGTGTTTCCGTGCGCTGCTCTAGTCCGCCAGAAGCGGCTTAGTCATGCTGGCCACATGATCCGGAAGCTGTACGCCGGCTCCCTCGGCCAATAAAGCAAGATGAGCGCCGCAACCCCAGAGTCGGCAATGACTGGACCTAATGGTCAGGGGTCCCTTTACCTTTACTATTTCTGGGTTAGCAAAGTCTGTAACCTGAAGCATCTGTAACCCGAGATACCACTGTACAGCAATGGTTACTATGTGTGCTATGTGTGGAATTCTGCAGCTGGAGGGCTGCATTTTTATTTTATTTCATTACTGTTAAGTGTAAGGGACTAGTCCTCATGACTCCTAAGGTAGGGTTTGAAAAGGAGGTGGGGCAGGGGAGTAGTTTAAACAAGACGCTTGCATCCAGTTTTTCTCCACGTAGAATTTCCAACACTCACAGTAAAATGTGAGGAAGAAATCACCAGTTTCCAAGTTCTGTGCAAAAGTATTTATTGTTTAGAGGTTATTATGCTCTCTGTTCCCAGCAGCTGAGCATTTATGGTCTAGATTCAAAACTTTGTCAGACCCATGAGCCAAATAAGCCACGCATAGCTCAGCTTTAGGACATTCATACAGATCAGCAAAGACAGCACAGGGGTAAGTCGGTTTTGCTTGAAGGCTGGGCCCGCTTTGATGTCAAAACCAACTTCCTAGTCCACAGGAGGCCAGAGAAATTCAAAAAGGTGTCTGAATTCTCAGAAGCTGGAGATACTGGGAAGGTCTGCCAGTAGCTGGGAAAGAGAGAAAAGCCTGGATTGCTGAGCCCTGCCCATGGGGATATGAATCTCACATTGGACAGAAATTTGATCTTCCATCTCCAATGTGGATCATATGTCTCCCTCTTATGGTCAACCTTGGCATAATCTTTATTCATTTGCTACGCTGCAATAAAAAATGGCAGCGGGCAATGAGTGTGAGCTTTGTCCCAATGGAAACTTCCACTCCTCCATTCCTTTGTCACAGTGCTTAAAGTGGGAAAATCACTCCCAAACTACAACACCCTTACCTTCCAAAATCTTAGGGATCAAAGTTATCTTTTGGCCTGATGGCGCTCCAGCAGTTACAAAATTTGATTGGAAAAGGGAATAAAGGGTTACACGTCATGTCTGAACAGGGTGCCAAGGCCCTGAGGCTGCTTTTTGCTGACAAATCAGCACAGCCCCAAAATAGTGATTCAGATGGGGAGTTACCAAAAAACTTTGGTGACTCTGTGAGGATTCCAGCTCCGTAGCATTAAAACCAAGCAATCAAGCAACCACATAATGGTTATACAATTCAGCATCCTGAGAATCTCAAATTTCAGGGGTTGAAGTTCTTTTGGTAAGCAAGTCCTTATGGCTGTGAAAATACACTTCAAAGTATGTAGGCAAAGACAGGCCATATTATCTCAGAAGGCTGAAAGGGTAGCTGAGTAAGACTTTACTTCTCCATATGACTAGCATAGTAATAAAAATTATGCAGAATTATGGAGAATAACATTATGCAAACCTATTTGATTTGCATAACGCATGCAGGGTGTTAATTCCTGCTTTTACTGATGCTGGGGGTCTATTTTACTTCAGCTCCAAAGGACAGAGCGCTGCCAGCAGCTTCTCTGTAGGTAGATGGCACATTTCAAGCAGAGTGTTGGGATTCTAGTGGCCACGAGTGACTCCTGTGGGAGAGAGTTCCACAATCCAACTATCTGCTGTGTGAAGGAGGACTTCCCTTGGCTGGGAGAGGAAGAAGAGCGTCCCTCTATCCTTTTACTCCACGCACCATGCATCGTTTTAAACATCTTCCATCAAGTCCCCTCTCCTTTACTTGCCTTCCCGCCCTGATTTCAGAAGCCCAAAGGTTGTAGCCTTTTCTCATAGGAAACTCATTTCGGGCCCTTTTGACTGTTCTGGATGTCCTGCTCTGCACACTTTGGTGCACAGAATCATAGAGCTGAAAGGGACCTCAGAGGTCATCCAGCCTAACCCACTTCCTGCCATGTGGGAGGCAATGGTGGCCTCCCTGAAAGGTCATTGTCTGGTGGTGGAGAGCCCACCGCTTCCCAAAGAGCAACACCATCCTGGATCCCAGACACGGAAAGAGAGCGCCTAAATGAATGCTGCCCTGCCTCTACATCTCCCTGCACAGAGAAGATGAGCAGATCATGGAGAAGTCTCAACTACAGCTCTTCGCTCTGCTCTGCAAACTTCTGCACACAGGAAGTGACCTTGTAGGTCATCTAACACGAGGACATGCCGAATCAGGCTGACAGCCCATCTGGTCCAGCATCCTGTTCTCGTAACGGCCAACTAGATAGCAAGCAGGATTCGTACACAAGAGCACTCTCCCCTCTTATGGCTTCCAGCAACAGGTATTGATTGGGAAATGTTGCTGCCTCAAACTGTGGAAGCAGAGCACTGTCAACGATTGCCCTCTCCCCAGATATTTTGTCTTTTAAGGCCGTCCAAAGCAGGCGGACATCACTGCCTCCTCTGGGAGGGAGCTCCGGAGTTTAACTCAGTGCTGCGTGAAGACAGACTGCCTTGCTCAAATGCAGGAGGAAGACGCAGCGCCCCTTGCAGGTTGCCACCCAGAGCAGGCATGCCCACATTGCATGAAAGGCACCTCCAAGCCCCGCCTCCCCATCAGCAACCGCGTATTGCGGAAGAAGGCAACGAGGGGAGAGTTAAAGTCACTGTCCTTTTATGCATTTCTTCTATACAGGGGGGAGAAGGTTTCGCTGCGTACATTCAGGCTGGGCTAAGCCCTTAGAAAGATACAAAACGGAGTAGCGAAACCTCCTCCCTGCAACCAGGCGACCCCAGAGACAGCATTATTGCTCAGAGAAAGGGGGGCAAGCGAGCTTAAGGCAACAGGGGTGACTGGCTGTAGCGGCGGCGACCCTCGAGGGGGGTGCCTGCAGTCCGAAGGTGCAGGAGCGGGCTCCGTCCGACTGACGCGGGTGATCAGGATCTCAAGCAGTCTTCCGTGACCCCCTGAGCTGCCAGCTCGGCCAGCACATTGTCCAGGTAGTTGGGGTCCGGATAGCCGTGCCCCGAGGTGTTGGAGTCCATCTCCGTCTTGTGGTGGATCTCATTCCACACCACGGTGTTGCTCTCT